CCCCCCCCCCCCGCGGCCGGCCTTGGCCTGCTGGCCCCCCTCCCGCCGCCACCCCTCAGCGCCTCCGCCACCGATATCGCCTCTCCTCTACCATGTTGGGCCTTCGCTGCCCACCCCCGCCGCCGGCCAAACAGAGACGCTTCCCAGGGGCGCCGAGGCTCGTTAGGGCTTTGTGCTGCTGCTGTGGCTGCCCCTGCTAAAGATATAATTGAACCCAACCCCCCGGCCAACGGAAGCAAGATACGATGTAGTCATTGAGATGTATCACAAAGATGCGCGAGCGTTTGGTAGTGTGTGTGGGTTGTTGCTGCTGCTGCTGCTGCTACGGCATAGCAACGCAGGGTACAACACCAGTATCCCATGAAACATTACACCTTCTGATCCAGCGTGTTGTCATTGAGACACTGCTGATCGACCCTCCTCTCCTGTGGTGGCGGTGCGAGCATTGCTGTATCATCGGTGGCAGAACCTCCCTGCGTTGCCTCTTTGCCCAAACGTACGGTACCCCGCAACAATGTAGGAAGTACTGGCCGCACCCGGTGGCTTGCACTGCTGAGACCGAACTTGCCACCACAGGCGCTACTACTACTATTCTAGGACGACGTGGGGTACGGTTGTCAGGCGTTCTCCGACCGGCAACGGCCGCAGCGCCGGAGGAGCGGTGCCATGAAATGGGCGGATGTGACAACACGTGTTTCGTTCTGCCTAACGACACATGTAGGGAATCTTGCCTTGAGCCACATGCTTCAAAACCAACGCCCCAACCTACAGCAGCAGCACGGATTGCTTTCATCTTCCCTATCTCGGCGCGTCTGGATTGAGCACTTGGCGCCTCTGTGCCGCCGCGCAACTGCTGTGTGCTTGCTGTTCACACGGCGGTGTGATGCATCACCTGCTGTTGTTGCTGGATTCGTTCGTGCCGTTGGCGGCAACCGTCCGCTTGACGTCCCAGTCGTGCGGCCTGCCTCAGCCACGGACACGAGAAGGAGGAAGACTCCTGCACCGACCAAGACAAAGCGGCTCATGGCGGATGAGAGATCGTCTCGCATGGCCGTGTGTCGTTTCTTCCGCAAGCTATGCTACGCTGCTGGGACCGCCTTTGCACGTTAACCGAGAGCAAGACAGACCAAGAGAGAGAGCGGGATGGGGCACCGCAAATCATGCGAAACAAGCGGGGGGGGATTGCACCTCTACCCTACACTTTGTTGCCTAAGATACCATACCCCCTGCACCAATTTCAAACCTTTGGATTGTTCTGTGGTGTTGTATTGTTCGATGATGAAGAGGATGCCGAAACCCAATGATGCATTTTTGGAAAGCATCGACCTCTCGACGAGACACATCCAACTCCGTCATTTCCGGCACCATCACTGCTGTATTTTCCAGCCGAGTAATCGAGCTTTCAAAATCGACCCGGGGGGTATGATATCTTACGCAACTTCTGAACTGGCTTCTTGTTGTACCACAACATTAGTTTCTTTTTTTCCACAGCTGACCCACACGGGAGGCGTCACATGGTATTGGTCTCATAAATTGAGGTGTTCCGGGGAAGGTGGACTCAAAACCCGTCTTTGAAGCACATGAAACAACGGCCTCGAGGTCCACAGACAGGTTCAATGTCTTGTTTTCGCCACCGTTGACATTTATGGGTTGTAAGTGTGGGATCCAACCGCGCAACCTACTTGCAGTTGCACTTTCATGAGAATTTGAAGCTCTGTTTCTCAACGCATTAGTCTAAACGTGCAGGCCCATAACGAACCACTGCTGATAGGAGGGGGCTGAGATGATGCCTCCGACCATCGCCACCACCATTGATCGAACCGTAGGTACGGGTGCTTGCCGGCGCAAACGTTCAGCACAGCCGTCACACAGAAAAAAGCGGTTGCATGCCAGCTGAAGTACGTGCTTTGGTAGCGAGCGGGAAAACACAACAACGTATTTCGTGAAACGGCGACGCCGCAGCAGCAGCTAGCTGTTGTCCGCCACTCCCTCTACATCCACATCGGATTCACATCCCGCCCACCCCTTAACACCTATGATTGGACACTATTGATTCGCTTCACGGACGAGCTACCACTCACTGCCGTGCTATTTACCATCCCAGCCTCTAAATCTTCTCCCTAGCTTTTCATTCCCCACTTTCGAACAAATCTTCGGTCGAGCGGTGGTGTACGAAGACCGGCTCTCCGCCCCTATCGATCGACAACCAAGCAACCTCCGGCAAGCCCGCTACGGCTTCTGGCCCCCCTCCTCCCGCTTTCCCGGTCTCGCTGGCCCTGACCCGTCTAGCTTCTCTGACCATAGCGCGCGCGGCTTCCGCGCACGTCATCTGCGAAAACGGTGGTTGCTGTCGCCGTCGCCCTCGCTGACGGACGCCCCCCCCGGGAGCGCCCTGTGTGCCGCGCAAATCGCTATCTTCCCGACTACCACTCCCACCTCCCCCACGTTCTTCAGTGCTGCGGTGGTCTCCGTCTTCCTCTGCTGTATCATCATCCCGACCTCCTTCTTCCGGCGACCACCCGCCGTTCTTCTCCCGCTCCCGCTCGGCACTCGCAGAGGGACCGACGCCGCTAGCGCCGCCGCTGGCGGCTATTTCCCCCGGCGTCGGTGCCGGCGCCGCTGCGCCTGTAACTCGGCGGTGGAGCCACTTCCACGCCCGAGAGCTCCCCCTCCCCGTGCATGCCGCTCTGTGCCTACGCACGGCTCCGCCCGGGTCTACCACGTACAGCTGGAAGCCGGCGTCCCGATCTATCACTAGCCCCTCCACATCGGCGTTGTCCCCCTCCTCCTCCTCCTGTATCCCATCCGCCGCTACTGGCTGCCGGTCGTCGTGGAGCACGGGCTCATCCCCCCCCGCACCCTTCTCCACTACAGCAGTCTCCTCCGTCTCTGACTCAGATACGGACGTCCCACCAGTAACAACAACGTCGGCATCACTACCACTGCTACGGCGGCCTCCTGCTGATCGTATAGAGGCGGGAGTGTCCGGCGCCCCTTCCCCCCAGCAGGCCACGAACAGCGCGTTGGGGTAAGCCCGCGACCCCCAGCGGACGCACGCCGCGTGTATGAACTCCCCCAGGCGCTCCGCCAGTAGCCTTCCCGGGATCGGCTCACCGTACTCGCGGCGGTGGGACCTATCGCGGATAAACGGGGGAGGGGGGGG